ACAACCACCAGCTTCTGCCTCCAGCTGTGTCACTGCAGTGCGGTGTGACCTTGGCATGGGCTGCAGGCTGACTGTGCGGGGATTGCATCTTCTTGATTAATAGCCTTGCTCGGAGTTGTGTCCCCTCGGTTCGACAGCACAAATACATCTTTATTACCCCGGTAGCAGCGTGGAGTCCTGGCTCAGAAAGGGAGCGCAATCCATTCTTGGCTTGGGAACCATCGGCACAATTAATTATATTTGGATTGCAGTGTAAAAATTGCCAGTAAGGCAGAGACGCCCCAGCCTACAAACAGTGCATGAGTTTAATTAAAAGGATGATTTTAAGCAGCTTTGGGCGCAGATACTGTATACTTCTCTGTTGGTTTCTATCACTGCCTCAATAATGAATTGTCAACGAGTTCAAATGAAATGAGCTTTCATTCTGCGTGGCGTAAAGCTCTCAAAGGGGGAGAGGTAGCTACTTCTGAAGAGGGTTTTAGCAGCGCATAAAATGAGGATGAAAAGGGGAAAGTTTCTCTGTTCCTGGGTGTTTCCAGAGTGGAGATTTTGCTCGGACGTCAAGACCACAAACGCAGCCTGTGCAAGAATGAGCCCCCACCAAGTGATCGTCCGTGCGAAGGACGGCTGTGCTCCGGCAACGCGTCCGATCACCGCTCGCCGCTTCCACAGGGACTCCTGCGAGCCCGTGCCTGGAAGGTGCCGAAGGCCTTCGCTGGGCTGGGGCGAGCAAGCTCGGCGTCTTCCGGGATGGGCCCCTGCTTTTTTGCAGCCTGTCGGTGTGTCGGAGGGAGCGCTGTGGGTATCCTCTTGGCCTCCCCATTAAGCTCTCAGATTTTCCCAGAGAACTGGGCAGAGCCAAATACAGGCCCAGAAAGGGAGCAATTAATTAAGCGGCTCTGTGCCTTCTTCTGGTGTCGACCCCGGCAGCGCCTGTGAACTGCGTAAATGCGCTTGGGATTGCCGTCCAGAGCTCTGATCTGGGTGAAGCTAACTGCAAAGGGACTCGTTTCAAAGCCTCTCTTGTGTCCTTTGGTACAAGGACAGCATTACAGACATTACTGCTCTGCCTCTAATGGCTACGGAAAAGCGCTCAACAGATTATTGGGCTTGCTTTTATTTTTTTTCCCTGCCTGTGTGCATGCTTTTGTTGGAGATGAGGAATTAGCACTACTTTTTTTTTTTAAAAGACTCTCGAGTGCCCACAACCCCAACTGACCTAGGCACTTCTGGAGACTTAGCAAGCGTTTTGAAGTTATTTTTAAATGCTGGAAGTCTTGCAGAGGTCTGGGAATGTTAAATGATTAATTATTTGTGTCGCAGAGCAGAGGAGTCACAGCCTGGACTGAGGTTCCATTGTGCTAGGTGCTGAATGCACACAGAACAGAACGACTGGTCTTGCCCTCGGTACCGTGACATGGGAGTGGAGTCAGCTCCCATCCCTCGGTTTGAATGTGTTTGTACACGCTCAGTGTGATACAGCAGTGTGTAAAATCACAGATATGTTTTTTAATAGCAGGTGAAGTACAAATAAAGGTCAGATGTATGTAGTGTGCATTTGCTCAATGTCTAGAATGGCAGAGCACAGTGAGCAGTATATGAATGCCGGGATGAAAAAGAATTGTTCACGCTCGGAGTTGATAACAGTGACTATGTGTATTTTTAGCTGTGTTTCTCTGTCATGTGCAGGCCACTGGTCAGTGCTGCATTGCTATTACCAGATGATTTGCATTTACTGCACTCCTTTGATCGCTTTGCCAGCATGACATCTGGCTAGTTTCCTTTTGCCAGGGTCCCAGGATCGTGGTGAAGTTCTCACAGTTATTTGTAGCTGTCTTTTCCCTTTACAACTAGCCTGAGAAATGAAGGATTCCTCCCCTCCCTGCAGATGTGGGTTTATTTTGAGTTTGGGGGTTGGGTTTTTTTTTTCCTCCTTTCTTCCAGGGCAAATTCAGCCCTACACCAGTGGGGTTAGGTTCTCTACAGGCTATCACCAAGCCCTTACGCCTGCTGCTGTTGAGCACCTTGGGATAGTCCGTGAAGTCGCAGCGCTAATAGTTCATTTTGTAAATGTAGGTGGTGCTCGGTGTGCAAGGTAGAGAAGATTGGATGCCAAGAACTGGGAAAAGACCAAAATCGGTTCCTGTGGGCGTTGTTCAGCACTTGTCCTCCCCAAAAGCTCCATCTCGGGCACAGAGAGGCTGAATTCCTGCAGCACAGAATCGATCTGTGACTGTGAAGTGTTTGACCACAGTTGACATCTTGGAGCAAGAAGGTGGTCTTTTTATTACTTTTAGGTATCTTGCAGGTATTTTATTACTTTTAGGTATTTTTCGGTACCTTGCAGCCAGCAAGCCCCTTGGAAGATAAGTGTCTAGTCGTCACTAGTGACTAGCCCACTCAGTGGGCTGCTGAAGGACAGTTCACAGTGCTCATGGTAGCCTGCATTGCTGGCCACTTTTGTCTGCCACGGTGACCTACACTGAGTGAAGAGTCGGTGCCCGCGCATGGACAGCCACAGAAAAATGTGTGTCTCGCTGAAGCCAGGCTGCTGCTCTGTGGGCCGGGATCTCCTGCTAGCCAGCTGGTATCGTGCTTTAGCTTTAAGTGTTAGTTTTTGAGGACTTCATGCCACGGAGAAATTAGAGACCTGCACATCAAACCTAGCAGTCCTGGGTGGGTACTTCAACAACTGCAAGATTTTCAAAATATCTTTGTCCTGTGTCCATCTGAACTTGTGACTAAACGGATTTACTTAGGGAATATTCTTTCTTTAGCTGAAGAGCCCCAGGTGGAAATATTTTAGCAAAAGCCTGAAACATGGGCACAGGTAGCACGAGAACCTACGTCTCCTGGTTCCCACTGCAGACCAACCTCCGTGGCCTGGCAAGCAGAAGTTTTTGACTGGTTCTGCCTTAAACATTGAACAATTTTGGCCAAGTGACTCATTGTTTCATATTTGTTGTTTGTATTGCTATAGCAGTTAAGACTCTTAAGCTTTGAATCCAAGACCTTGTTGTGCCAGGTGCTTTAGGAACATGGGGAAAAAAAAGCTCACAAAGGCCTCGTGAGGAAGAACGTGCATTTCTGTGTAACCCAAGACAACAGATGGCTACAGATGGGGGAGTGCAAGGAACTGATGAGATAATACTGACCTGTGCAGTGAGTAATAGTCTTGGTACATCGCTTATCTAAACATTGCTGAGGTTTTATAGACACTCTAGCAAAGGGCAGTTTGAAGGAGGATGATCAAGTGACAGCAGAAGTTTACAGTAATGTCGCAGCAAGCGAGAAAGGCAGCAGAGGGAAAAGAGGCATGTTGAAAATGGTGCTTGAGGAAACAGGTTTGCTGCAAAATCTCATTAGCATTGTAGATGCTGTGGTTGGGTATGAGAGAATGCAGGTATGGGGGCAAAGTAGAGACAGAAGGTGTGTTTGTTGGAGCACGGAAGGCAGAGCCAGTGGGGAAAAGAAACCTACAGGCAGGCTACGTATTCAAAATCTTGACCTGGAACTTTCTTCTGGTGTGTTTACTACTAGCAACTCAAGCACGAAGAAAGTGCTGTTTCTCTGGATTGTAACTTGTAACCATGTTGTGGCATGAGGGAACAGATGAATGAAGCAGAATGTGTGTGTTCCCTTATTTGCAGCGCAGATGCCTTGGTAAGGGGCAAAGGAAAAATGCTGCTTTTTGTGGCGTTGTTTATTTAAACTTCAGTTTTACAAAATTAGCCTGTGCAGAACCATCGTCGAACATCCTCTCTAAGCTGAAAGCTTTCAGAGCAAGATGCAAGTCAAATGTCAGCCCCAGCAATTAGCATGCATCCTTTCATGAGGGTTAAACTGTGCTTAACCTCTGCTGATCAGATTCTTTTTCTCCTACATGCTGTCTACAGCTAAAAATAATGTCAAGTTAAAGATGTACCAAAGACAGCAGCTGCCCAGTCCATGGTTATTCTGAAGCAGCTTGCTCTCTCCCCAGTCGTGGTTTGCTTCCCATGCAGCGTGGGTGGAAGGACAGCTATCATGGCATCTGTTGGGGAAGCTCTCGCTGGCTTGAGGATGTCCAGGAGCCCAAGTGTTTGTAGCCCACAGTGTGAAGCTTGGAGTGCAACTTCCCCATGGTGAAAATAAGACCTCTAAAGGTGTGTTGCTGTTCGACACAAAGGGTTCATACGAAGGCAGTGGAGAATCAAGAAGGCTTTTGTATCCTGTGTAACGCAGCATGACGTGACTGCATAATGAGAGAGGATGTATTTAGACTCTGCAGAAGGTTACTGGAGAAATAGCTTCATGGTAGGAAATGCATTGGTTGCTTCAACATAAACTGATACCCCAGATGTGTTCTCTGCAGTAGGGACCCCTTTTCGCTGAACCATTTTTAGCTGTGTGGAAAGAGCCCAGTTCTGTATCTCGAAGGCTCTTTCAGCGATCAACTTTGGTCTTACCGCTAGAGGGGGACTGCAAGCTGCAGGCTGTGCGTCCGTCCTACTGGGATCCAGCTGTCCCCTCTCTGTGCCACCGCCAGCCCAGCAGCTCCAGCAGCAGGACCCTCTCTGCTCGGTTGGGCTCTGGGCGGTCACGGCACCCGGTACGGTCGGACCATGCAGCCCCACAAACATGAAGGGATGTGGACGAGGGGAGCTGGACAGGTGCAAAGTCTGGGTGCTTCTCCAATGGTCTGGTGCTGCAGAATGTCATTTTTTCTCCCCACACAGCTACAAGAAGTGTCGTGAGCATTAATGGTGTTCAGTGAAAGCTGAACAGGGTTTGTGCAACCTCGCTGAGTCACAGAGAGGTGTGAATAACCCCTCTTAATGCCCGGCTGCAGCAGTGTAATAGCAGCATACCCAGCAGTGCCGTTAAACTGGTTAAAGATGAACTGGAAACATCAGTGCTCCTAGATCCTGGGAGAAAAGTGAGCTTGTGGATGGGGCTGTCAGCGTAGCAGACTCACTCGTGTGCTGGGCCTGACCTACCTGTTTCTTGTTGCCTTGCAGGGCTTTTACCCACGTGTTCACCTTCGGCCCAACGTTTCGAGCGGAAAACTCGCAGAGTCGCCGGCACCTGGCGGAGTTCTATATGGTGGAGGCTGAGCTGTCCTTCATTGAAAGCCTCCAAGACGTCATGCAGGTAGGCACTGCAAATGTCTGTGCAGCACCAGTGCCAGAGCTTCCTCTTCCTCTCTCAGCTGTGCTCCCTGCCCTCAACTGAGGTTGCAGCTCCTCTTGCCCTGTGTGAGCCAGGTAGAGTATGCACAGGGACTTCCCAAGGATCAGGGTTTGCTCAGCAGAGGTAAGGCCACAGAATTTGGAAGGGAAGATATAGATGCAAACACAGCCCCCACCTGAATGGGAGATTGCACAGTTGGTTATATTGCCAGGAAATGTGTAAATGTGCTTGACTGGTACTAATGAAAGTTGGCAGTCTCCCCTTCAAAACCTTCAGCATCTCCGGTGAATCTGAGCAGTATTTATGCATTGTGTCCCTTGGTGTGCTCCGTAAAGAGCTCCTTGAAACCCGCATTGAAAGCTCACATAGAAACAACAGTTCCTGGCATACACTATTCACTGTGGCTTTAGCCGAAGACCGAAATCCTTAGAGTCAGCTAGCTTCTGATTTTTCAGGATTGACCTCTCGGTTGCAGTTTAACCACATGATGGATGCTGATGCATTTTACTAGTCTCAGCATAAGCCAGCATATGCCCAGTAGGGCTTGTGAGTAAACATCCACACACGATCCCATATATCAGATAAGCTCCTTGGAAAGCTATTGGAGAACTAGCCTTAAAAAGAAGACCTGTGGCATTGGCTGCAGATACAGAAAATAACATCCAGGTGGTGGTTGCTTCAGCCTGGATCATATACAGTCTACAGAGTCAGTATGGCCTGACAGCAGAGCTGACATACTCCCTCTTGTGTGTGCTGCTTCTGCGTCTTGGATGTCTGGATGGTCCTGGAATGTGTGGACTGACCCGTTGGGAATCTCTGAACTCCATCATTAATAGCATCCCGCTCCTTTTTTCTCTCTCCTTTTCTCCAGAAAAACTTTGTGTATTCTTAGAGCATAGCATATGTATATGTTTATTATGCCTTACTTCCTGAGCCCCCTGTTTCTCTAGATAATCAGGAGCTGATTGAAATCTTCACTGCTTTCATCTGGTATAATAAGCAGGGTCTTCTGTTAAGTGGTGTTTGAGCCCTGGAGTACAGCATGAATACATTTATACTCTTGTGCCAAGAACCCTAATTTCTTGACTTTCGAAGTATAGACAGCCAGTTCAGACAATACAGAGAATTAGATCTCAGAACTGCTCTGGGCT